CCTAGAGTAAAAGCTATCAGCATTCACCATTAAATATGTTTGCTAGTTTTTTTTTTAATTACATTGAGGAAATTCCTTTTATTCTTAGTTTACTAAGTTTTTGATTATGAATTGAAGTCAAATTTCATCAAAGGCCTTTTCTGCATCTGCTAAGGTAATTATATGACTTTATCTTTTATTTGATAAATCCGGTGAAATACAGTGATTCTCTTTTTAATTTTAAACCAAAATTGCATTCCTGGGATAAATGCAATCTATCATGATATGGTTAACATTTTCACATATCACTAGGATCAGTTAGTTATTATTTGAGGAAAGTTGTGTGTACTGCAAAATTTATTATTTATTATAAGCATAATTGGCCTATAAATTTTTTTCACTAATGTTTTCAGTTTTGGTATCAGAGTTTTAATGGGTTCAAAATTAACATGTTTCCTGTTTATAATATTTGGCATAGTTTATTAGGCGTGGTGCTATTTCTTAAGGCTTGGTAAAATTCACTGGTGAAGCCATTTAGGCTTGCATTTTACCGTGTACCTAGGTTTTTAATAACAAATTCAGTTTCTCTGATAGTTACCAACTATCAGAGAAATTTTATATTCTTGTATCAGTTTTAATGTTTGAAATTTTATATTCTTGTATCAGTTGTAATGTTTTATTTATCTTAGAAGTTTCCCATTTTATCAAAATTTTCTAATTCTTTAGCTAAAGTTCTTCCACAAGGCCAATATTTATTTAGATATACCTCCATATTTACAATTTTTGTTGTTTTTTAACTGCTTTCTTCATCTCTGAGCTTCAATCTGAGATCATTTTTGCCTGAAAAACGGTCTTTGGCATTTATTTTAATATGGGTGTGCTCTGGATGTATTCAGTTTCTGATTGTCTGAAAAATGTCTTTTTTTCATCTTCATTATCAAAAGCTGTTTTATCTGAGTATAGACTTCTAGGTTGGCTCCTAATTTCTTTCAGAATTTTTACCTTATCTTCCCATTGTCTAGTTTCCATGTTTTTCTATTGAGAAGTAGTAACTTCTTAATTTGTTGTTACAATGAAAGTAATATTTTTACCCTATATTTTAGATGTTATTTGCCTTTAGTTTTTAGAGGTTTTACCCTGAGATGCCTCAGTGTGTGTGTTTTTAGCCTGGTCAAGTTTCATAGTTTTTGCTTTATTTTGTTTTATAAATTTGTAGCATGATGTAATCTGTCAGTTTTGGAAGACTGGCCATCATTTCTTCAATAAGAATTCTTCTGGGGTGCCTGGGTGGCTCAGTCGGTTAAGTGTTCAACTCTTGATTTTAACTCAGGTCACCCTGGGCATGGAGCCTGCTTGGGATTCTCTCTCTCCCTCTGCCCCTCCCCCCACCCCTCTCTCTCTCTCTCTCTCTCTCTGTCTCTCTCTCTGTCTCTCTCAAAAAAAAATTCTCCTTCATATTCCCCATGAAACATGTAAAACACACTTTTTTACATAGGAAGAACAATAACATTTGTTGATCAAATGGAATCCCAATTGATTTGCCTGTTTGTGGTATGTCCATCTTCCAACCCCTTCTATCACTATTTTTAAATTAATTTTCGTAAGTCTCAGCTCAAAACATTTCATTCATCTATTTTCAGTCATCAGTGGTTATTTTCTTTTCTATAGAAAGAAAATATGTTCAACTCTAGCTTGAAACTTAACCCACTGATGATCTTGCCCAATCTATGTTTCCAATTTCTCCTCCAATATTTGCCTTCTTGTGCCCTACAAGCCACTTTGAATAAACTCCTTGCCTCTTCCCATGCCTGCCTCACATATCCGAGTATGAATGTCTACCCTAATTCTGTTGTCCTATCTTAAATGCCCTTCCCCACATCTCCAGGGAAGAGAGGTGTGCACAGGCTAAGATCCTAGGCTTCAGTTTCTGACAAGCGTAGATTTGTATTCTAGATCCAGCATTTTTACCAGCCAGGTGCTCTTGACCTCACTAAGCTTTGGTTTCTTCATTAATGGGATAATGTTATTCATGGGGATAATAATAATAGACCCCTCCTAGAGGGTCAAGTGATGACTAAAGGAGATAATCTACACCAAGTGGTTAATACAAGGAACAGGAGTATTCGATATCATTGGTAGTATTTTTACTATAAAATACCAATGGTAGGAGCGACTGCTCTTTGCCCACCTCTACATCCATTCTGCTCTGTAATCTAGAGGTCAGAGACCTGCTGCTGCTGCCACCGATACCATTACAACTGTTTCTCACAGCCAAAAATCTAGTCACTGAACCCTGGACAACCTGAGTCCGGGCATTTCAAAATAGTAGAAACCACTCACGTATCTCAGACACAGTCTGCCAGCATCAACAGCAGCAGGAACATAACCTCTATATCCCTCCCATCTTCCAGTTTACACACATGGTTTGAGTTAGCAGAGCCAAATTTGCCTCCCAAACACCAGCTGAAGAGGGGCCAGGAAATATTTTTAGCTTCCTGACCTCTCCAGCGAGGAGGGTAAAGCCAAGGTTGGGAGAGCCAACCTATAATATCTACTGCATGATTCATTCCAACTCCACCTTCTCCAGCTTGTTCCTGGATTTTTCCTAACTAAAAGTCATCATTCTTCTGCCTTCTCTACATTGGTGGTTTTCACCACCATTGGACAAACGTCATTGGACATTAGAGCCACCTCGGACCTGAAAAATACTTATTCTCGTTCTTTGCCTCCAGAAATTCTGATTTAATTGATTTGGGGTAGGGATGCACTTTGGAAATTTTTTAAAACCCTAATGTACCCTCTGTGTTTAGAACTGCTGCTCTAAATTCTTACAATCTTTCATTTCTCCTCATCACTTCCTAACTTTTGTTTAGTTATTTATAAAATGTCCTTACTCTTCCTACTCAATTATAAGTTCTCTGAGGCTAGGATTGGAATCTACTCTCTTTTATGTCCTTCACAACTTCTGGCAGATTACTTTGCAAAAAAGAAAAAAAAAAAACCTTAAATGTTGATTGACTGCATGAATAAATGAATGATGGATGATGCCTTGCAAACAAAAGCATATTAAAGATACCAGGCATCAAATCCCTGTCTCTCTCTTGCTTGACGTAGTCTCAAGTACATTTCTTGTGAATCTATTGATTCTGCTCAGGAGAGTAAAAATATAAGTGGATATATTGCTCACAGCATTAGCCTTCTAATCAATAATTCACCATAAAATATAACTTGACACAAAATTATTCCTAGTTTAAAAAATAACATCTAAGAAACGGCATTCTCAGCTATAGACACTATTGCAAATGAACTCACCCTTTCTAAGTAGAAACCTAAAATAAAGGAGGAACTGGACAATAAAAGTCAAGTGCGGTCATGACACTGGATTTCTGAGATTTTTTTTTATTTTTAGATACGTCAGTTCTTTGATATATCAGTGTATCTCTAAATCAATCTTCTAAAACCCCAGTAGGCAATGATAAAAATTCTGTACTCAAACTATTGTATAATTGCAGAATGACTTCGAAAGAAGTTTGACTAGAATATATCTAATTGATACATATAATCCCTTTGAAAGAAGTTTGCCAAGAACTTGATATTGATACTAGCATTTCTGAGTTCATACCTAAAAAAATTAAATGCTATCCAATTGGGTTGCATTGTTAATATTAAGATTTCTTACGGTTCATAATTATAGATCTGCTTTTTAGATCTTTGAAAGAAAAGGATTTAAAATCTTTGAAAGAGAAATTTTTCCCAGTACCTTTGCCAAATTAGCCCTCAGATGGGGGTTCCTGAGATAAGAATCACAGGGTCCTCATCTCTTTTTTTACAGCTTTGCCTGTTAGGAAATGATTAAGAGCAAGCCATTGGATCTGCTCTCCTGAACACAGAGTTATTCCCTGAGTATTTAAAAATATTAACATTAGGGATAAAGAAGAGGAAAAATGACACAATGATGTTTAGAAAAGAATAAGGTTAGGTAAAAAGTGATTTGATTAGAGAAATTCTTTCGCTTCTCTTGCCTGCCCCCACCGCATTTAGAACTGCTTGTGTTAAGAGTTCAAATAGCTTTAAGAAGCTTTAGTTTCAAGGTCTTCTTTAATCCTGAATGTACCCAGGTGAAAATTTGTTTCCCAAGACTCACCATTTCCCAACTTCAGAAGGGATCTCGCGCCATTCTCCCATTTGTCTTTTCCCCTTCCTTTCCTGCCAAATCAGGATCGATCCTCCCTCCCTCACTTCCTTCCTTCCTTCCTTCCTGAGTTCCCACAACTTAACTTCCTTAAAGTCTTCCCAGGAAGGTCTCCTGATACTGTAGCTCCTCACCCTCTTTTCTATTAGTTCCCTTAAGAACTCCATGGTTCCAGTAGAATATGTATCACGTTTGTGGTTATACACTCCTCTATTTGGATGGGTTCACATATCCACAGGTAAATGAGAGACTTCATGTAAATGAGGGCTGAATTTCTCAGTGTATTTTCCCCAACCAAGAATAAGAAGGTGAACATTTAGTTTGTTCTCTTAGCTCAAATTATGTTCACCATTACCAAGGTAAGAGTTAAACTAAGAGAATCCAGACTTCTGGAGGGCAGGGAGTTCAAATATTACAGAGTAGATATTCAATACACATTGACCTAGACTAAAGGCCTTGTCTCACTGTATAGTTCTATAAAATGCAAAATCACAAGGTTTTGAGATGTTGAAATGACTGTTCCCACCCGACCCAACTGTCCGACGCTGCTTTAAGGAAAAAAAAAAAGAAAAACAAAATAAGTAACTTTCTTCAAAAAAAAATAAAATATGGTCCATTTTGTTAAGAATTTTCTATGGAGCAAGGCCTATTATGTGGCTAGGATGGGGATACTTATTTGACAAGTATTTATATTTATTGATTATATATTTTGATATCAATATGTATATATTTATAAAATAAATAAGATATAGGTATTGCAATGTTGTGTTTAAAGTGCTGAAACACTACCAGTTTTGTAATCCCCTCAGTTGCTTCTTCATTTTATAAGATACTAAAAGCCTCACCAAATGGAAGTAGACTGGGAGTTCCCTTGCTCCATGATGCTATTATGTACATCTAACGCCAAGTCAGTACTAATAATGAAGATGGCATTTTCCATACTAAGTGATGAAAGTTAAAGGTATATAAACCTTATTTCACTATTAAGAGATAAACACATGATCACTGTAAATGTGAATAAAACTCACATTTTAAAATCTTTCAAGGGAATCAGATCTATTTTCCTCCTGTTTCTAAGCCCTCGGGAACTCTTTGAGTGTGTTTGTATTCACTTGGAAGGGACATTTCTGTGGAATCAATCAAATAGGGAATTCAATGTTCTTTGCAGAAAATTTTGGCATGTTCCATTGGGAACTTTCTAGTATGAATTTTCATCTTTCCTGGGAAAAAAACCCACATGTTCTAAATCCTCAGTCTTTTCTCTGTTAGTGAAGAACAATATAGCGAAGCTGTTATGTACAGAATTAATGACAATATATATTCAGCAAGACAGTCTGCTGGACACCTCATCATTAAAATAAAAGAAGGCAAAAATGTATGAGAATACAATTTGAATGTACTAAATAAAAACTAGCATTAAAAATGCTGTGAAAAGCATCACAATAACTGATTTTCTGATTTTGCTACAATTAAAAAAAAAAACAAATTTCCAAGGTGGAGAATTAGAAAATATTCATAGCTCCTAATATATTCAAAGTAAATCCAAAGATAACAAATCTCATTTTCCAAGAAAAGCAGTGATAGTGCTTTTGGTGACAATGAAAAACTCATGTTCAATGCCTAATTAGACCTTTTGAAATCCGTATGTTCTGTTCTTTACTGGTTTCCTTATTCTTGCCTTGGCTCTATGTTTCGTATCAGTTTTTTATTCAGCAAGTGCTGCTAGTTACCATTCTATATACATCTTAGTTTAGTCCTAAAACCTGAAGAAGCCTAGAGCTCTTTTCTACCACTGATGGTTTCCCCTGCATTCTACACCTGGGCAACTGTTCAACAGCAGCCAGAAAGACCTAGCACTTGGACTAAGTCCTACCTGCTAAGGAGTTGTATTTGGCCAGGTTAGTGTGGGCCATCCAAAAGGAGATGCCCAGGAGGCAAGTGTAGCTTTAGCTACAGATTTGGGAGTCAACAGCATATTTGGGGAGGTTCAAGCCCCAAGGAAGGAGGATGTCCCAACGGAGAGTATGTAGTACAGGAAGATGTGAGGACTAATGTGCAGAACCCTCCTGAGGTGCCCAATAAAGATTTGAGAAATAAAAGAATGGCCTAGAAAATGACAGTGTACTTGATTATTAACTTCCATGTCAGACTGTTGTGATTTCCAAGGAACTCTGTCTCCAGAACTCTCCAGCAAGTTAGGAAGTGATGACAGTTAGTGAAAGACCTATCAACAGTTCATATTTATATCCTTGAGGTGAAACTGTCCTCTTTCAACACATCTCACGTTTTCATTGAAGTTCACATTAGTGAACGATGAATACAAGATGTTTTTCACAATCTGGCTGTGGGCTTACTGCATTTTGTTAGCAAAACACACAGGAACTGCCAAAATGGGAGAGTAGCCTTTCCTAAATCACTCCAAATGTCACCATGACTACAGCATATTTTCCTAAATTGCTGTTTTGGTTTTTTTTGCTTAAGATATAAATTCATTCAAGTGTTTGGCTCCTATTAAGGCTTTATAATTTATCTTATAAAAAATTTGCTTTCATGTACATGAATCATTTTCTTATTCATAGGACTGAACCAAAATGACAACTGCTCAATTTGATTGTCAATACTGCACAGCATCACTTCTTGGGAAGAAGTATGTACTAAAGAATGACAATCCATATTGTGTCTCATGTTACGATCGTATCTTTTCTAACTATTGTAAAGAGTGCAAAGAACCAATCAAATCAGATTCCAAGGTAGGTTTTCAATTCATAGAATAATTGCATGCAAACAAGCAGAGAAATGCTTTGGAATGCCTCATTTCCTTCGGTATTGACCGCTAATACTGTATGGCTCTATTCCTGGATATAAGCATCTTCAAAGTTACCATCAGTGACCAGGTACTGTGCTTAGCACTATGAAATATAACATATATACTTTAATCCTCACAATGATCTTAGCAGATAGTTTAAGATGCTAAAGATTAAAGAGGTTACGTTATTTGCCCAGAGTTACACAACTAAAATGCTGGTTTATTTCTGGAATGACAAGAGTATAAATGAATAAATACATAAATCATCGGAAGTGTAGAGATTTCAAAAATCTGTATTTTCTGACTTCAAATCAGGCTCATCCCCCCCTAAGTCCACTGGGCCCTCATACAGCCCATTCCTCCCACAATGCACATTATTGTTTTTTTCTTTTTCTTTTTTGTCTTTGTTTTGTGGTGTTGAGATTTTGTTTAATCTCAAACAATAATAGGATATTACAACCTAAAAATAAAAATCATTCCATGAAAAACCCCTCTTATAGTTGATAAAAGGAAGAGGAAATCTGAAGAAATAGGAAAGAGTTTATTTTCCATCTGTCTTTAGTGACCAACTAAGAAAGCCCCAGGCTCTAGCTCTTAATTGCCCCAGAGAGGCTCCCTCCATGGGTAATAGTATCAATGACAACTTTTGGAACTCAAGCTACCAGCACAAACTACTGACACCAGAGTCCCAAGAGTGTTCAGTTTTGTCTTATCAAATGACCTGTTTAGTCACTAGCACATTTAATTAACTCATATTTACTGTCTCGAAGGATCTTTGTTACAAAGGCCGAAACTGGCATGAAGCATGCTTCAATTGCGCCAAATGCAATCACTCTCTGGTGGAAAAGCCTTTTGCTGCCAAGGATGAACGTCTGCTGTGCTCGGAGTGCTATTCTAACGAGTGCTCCTCCAAGTGCTTCCACTGCAAGAAGACCATCATGCCTGGTAAGACCCCAAGGGAGCTCCAGTCTCTCACTGAAGCTGCAACACTCTGAATTACACCCAAGCATAGGAAGAGTATAGTAGCTAAGAAAGCCCTCCTCTGGAGAAAAACATCTACCTTGCTACCTCTTGATTTCATTTTGTGTCTTTTTAGAAATAAAAGGATTATTCTTTCTGGGTAATTATTCTGTATGGGTAAATTACAGTGTTCAATCTATTTTCATGAAGTTAATTCATAGAGACATTTTCAACCACAATCTGAGCCAAAGACTAAAGATAAAATCTAAACCAATAACACTAACGCTGCATTAAACACGCTGTCCTAGGCATAATAATGGCATCGGGAAGCATAATCCATCATAGGAGAATGGGGCCAACCATCATTTTGTAGCAGGACAAAAAATGGTTTGAGGGTCCCTCATCTTTGTTCCTTTTAGGCCAAGTCAAGGATTCATGTACATCATTATACTTTCAGGCAAGCACTTTCTCTGTTTTGATTCTCTTCTAAATCCCTATGGACAGCAGCATAAAACACAATTCTCTCTCATTTCCTTATTATGAATTCAAAGAGTTTCTAGGAGACCATAACTGCACAACATCAATCTCAAGAGTTTGTGCCTCAGGCATTCCTAATATCCCAGTACTGATAATTATGGCCCAATCTATCTAAACCACATGCAGCCCTTCAGAGTCTCCACTAGTTGTACTTTCAAATCTCAAAATTGTAGCTTACACAGCACAAGAGTTTTCAGTAAAAGAGCAACTCACCTTCATCATGGCTGAACTCTACCTTCTTTTTTTTCAGATAAATGTTTTAGAAGGCAACAAAACACTTTTTCTATAAGGACAGTTAAGTTTATCATCTTAATGTTAAAATATATATATTTTGAGTAATTTGACATATCTTTACTTAAAATAAATAAAATGATGTTTCATTTGTACTAACAGGTTCTTATTTGGGGTGGGGGGGACAGGTTCCCGCAAAATGGAATTTAAGGGAAACTACTGGCATGAAACCTGTTTTGTGTGTGAGCATTGCCGACAGCCAATAGGAACTAAGCCTTTGATTTCCAAAGAGAGTGGCAATTACTGTGTGCCATGTTTTGAGAAGGAGTTTGCTCACTACTGCAGCTTTTGTAAGAAGGTAATTATCTGAAGAGGATGAAGCTTGTGGAACCTTCCAGACAACTGCTTTTTAACATTCCTAGATATTTGGAATGCACTGATCCTATCACGTTCTGTCTGTCTTTGCATGTGCATGTTAGTTTTGAATTCCGGCATGTCCAGAAGCACACTACCGGTCACAATGAAGATGGCCACCTATTTTTACTGTCATAAATTTCCACCCAGGACATGAATGTAAGATTCCAAAAGCTCAAGATAGTCCAGTTCCATTCATTGCTACCACACAGGAGTTCCTGTATTCTGGCAGAGGGCACACATCGTTTGTGGAATACAAGATATTTCCCAGAAAATAGTTTGGGATCCATTTCGTTTCAGAGAAATACGATTTTTCTCACAGAGTCACTGACAGAACCAATTTAAACAGGATGTTTAACTTCTCACAATTTAAACAGGATGTTTAACTTCCCAGCAACACAAATGTCTTCTTGGCTTAAAGCTTTAATATTTCTAAAGAGTAGGTAAGTAGACTCAAGAAAGTGACAAGATCACTGGGGAAATTCACTAGACAGAAAGACAGAGAGAGGGCAAAGGGCAGCATGTGGTTCGCTTCCAGTTCCAGAGCATCATATAAGGCCTTCTGACTTGGATAGCCCTTCAAAACATATCTTCCAATAAGAACAAAGTCCTGCCTTCAAGTAAACTTTGTCCATCTCTTTTTTAGCCTTTAAGCTTTTATATGAAAGAATAAATTTCATATAAGCTTTTATATGAAAGAAAAATATATATGTTGGGTAGTAGACAGATCACTCATCTCTATCACCTTGGTAAAACCTGTCTGTGTTTCATAAAATATATATTGATGTACTTGGAGAAATCCTTGACCCATGAGGCATCATAAAGTTTAAAATAACACTATAAATTGTGATGGGAAAGCAGTGGTGTCTAAACATTTTTGATCTATGAGATGCTCTGGCAGATCTCAGGACCATTTGTATAATTGCATCTGGACAGCTAGAAGTCTCACTACCACTTTCTATGGGAGCACATGAACACGGTAATTTTCTACATGTATTTAAAATACGAGGACTGCATTTGCAGAGGAAACAATAAACTCCTAAGTCATAATCATTAGATTACACTATAATGATGGCTGAAATTACAATTGACAGTAACATGATATAAAACCATCTTACACCCAGAGACTTTCATTACTCTACCAGTAGTAACACTGACTTAGACAATGACTTTATAAGCAACTCTCAGATCCTATGACCCTGCAATATATGAAGCTCAGAAGATTTACCAGAATTGATGACCTGCATTTTATTTTTTTTTATTTTACTATATTCTTTTTTGAGAGAGAGAGAGAGAGAGCATGCACAAGGGGGGGTAGGTAGAGGCAGAGGCAGAGGGAGAGGGAGAGAGAGAATCTTAAGCAGGCTCTATCCCATGACCCTGAGATCATGACCTGAGCTGAAATCAACAGTTGGATGCTCAACGGACTGAGCCACCCAGGCGCCCTGAAGACATGCATTTTAGAAACAGATGCTGGAAATCAAATGGTAGATTTATCTCACTGTTTTATGGGACAACTAAGTTGGCCATGTTCATGTTATGTTTCTTAAAGACTTAAGCTAAAATATTAATGAGACTTGCGGGAATTATCTTAAAATCATTTATTGGGCATATAATATAACGTATCTTTCAATGTTATAAAGATTCAAGAGGGGGAATTTCTCTAGTATATCCGTGCTACGCACTATTTGAGGCCAAAGCACTGGCATTTCCCAAGTTATAGGAGCCTGTCCTATATTTAGGACATGATTTGAAGTCACCAAAACTTTGTGAAATATTTATGTTGGGTAGTAGACAGATCACAACATGCCAGATTATTTTCTATTTAACTTTTAAAACCACCAGTCATTTAAGGAAAGCTGGATATAAATGTTTCTGATCAAGATGATCCAAGCTGAAGAAAAACAATGTTTCAACTCAAACCAAAGACCAAATAAAACAAACAAAATGGGCAAAAAATACTGGACAACCAGGCCCTTAGAACTTTTTTCATAGATTTTATTTTGTGAAACTAAAACTTATTTTCTGGGATGCCTGGGTGGCTCAGTTGGTTAAGGGTCCGGCTCTTGATTTTGGCTCAGGTCATGATCTCAGGGTCTGGGATCAAGCCCCACGTCGGGCTCCTTGCTGGGCGTGGCACCTGCTTGGGATTCTCTCTTCCTCCCTCTCCCCCACTGCCCCCACTCTCTTTCTCCCTCCCTCTCTCTAAAAAAAAATAAAATAAAATAAAATAAAAATAATAAATAAATAAAACCTATTTTCTACCAAAAACAAGGAACCTTAAACTCCAAGCGCTTTGAATCCAAACTCCTCGAGGTTCAAATAGAGTATTCTCTGATTCATCGGCTATGGTCTATGAAGCACAAAACCAATACTGCCTCCACTTTTCCAGAGAAGAAACTTGTTCTAAATCCTGGGATCAATCAATGGCAAAAACCACGCCTAGATATTCGGCTTCATCTCAGCCTGCCTGCCTCCTCAAAAGGAACATAATCATAAGCAAACTATTTTTAATGTTCCAGAGTTTCTTCTCCCTAATTAAACAGTCTTGGGAATATTTATCAAGTTTTCTTTTGCTGTGAATACATTTTTCAAGTTTGGAATCTTTTAAGCATTGCCTGCTAATAATTTGACCAAACAAATCAAAGGAATGTTGAATTCTGCTGTCCCCGTGGTGAGGCATTTGAAATCAGTAGGAAGTATTTTAAATTGCTTTAGTTCACACACACCATTATGTTTCCCATTTACTTATTTAGACTGGTATACATTTTTCCCTTTAGGAAAAATAACTGTTTTATCAAATATCTTTAATTTTTAAGATATTTGTTGTAAGATTCAAAAATATCTTTAGAATCATCTTTTCAAAAGCATGTATCATAGACAACATTTTTTAAAATTTTTCATCAATGAGATGGCTTAGAAGAGGCTCTACATTTTCTATATCCAGTTAATTTGAATACAAAGATTACAGGACTCGCCTCAGAGAGCACATGAACATATTCCAGATTCCACAGCTACTCCAAGAGCTCAACAGCCATGGGTTCGAAAGACGCTATGACTTAAAAATTGCTACCCAAGAACAGTTGTCCAATATTTACCCATCTGATTCTAAATAAAGATGTCTCAGCCTTTTAAAAAGTACAACCCATGGATTAAACTGGTTTAGAAAAAAAAATATATGTTATGGAGGAATAATCATCATCTCTGACAAAACCCTCGCACATCACACATTAAGGTTCAACATACAAGCTGTGCTCATCATTACTTAGAAGTTCTAAAGCTGAAAACCCATGCAGTTGGCACAGCACCCCATTTGTGCCAGATACAATACGAGAATTGCTGTCCAAATGTTTTTCCCCTTGGTGTTTGTTCCTTCATTCGACAAGGACTTATCAACTGTTCGTGAGCGAAAAGTAACCTTGCCTCAGTGTTGTTTTACTGGCTAAGCACACAGGCTCAAGAGTCAGACTGTGTAGGTTTGCATACTAGTTCTGTGTGACCTGGCGAGGGACCTGACCACTCTAATACTCAGTAGTTTCTCATCTCTTAAAGGGGGAAAGATCATAGTCTTGGCTGTGTCAGACGTTAAGAACAACCAAGAAGAGGTCATCCCTTAGCACAGGGCTGAGGACTGAAAGCTCACTTCAGAAATATTAGTCATGATTAGTGGACGATGGTCCTTAACAATGCCATTCAGCATTGCTACTGCTGGAATAAGGCTTTCAGGGAAAAGTAGCTTTTTTCAGCATCCTTAAAAGTTAGACATGGAAATAAGAACCTGGTGTAGAAAATACCTTAGTTCTGATGGCAGATCTTTGAAGCCCAACAAGAAAGAGAAAGATGAGAAAAGGAATCAAGGATCTATTCTTTTTCATTTTCCTGAGTCCATGATGGCCCTGCTTCTTCTCTATTCCACTGTAAGAGAAAAATTAGGGTATGTCTGGCCAGTTCTATTTAATCCCTATAGCCTTTTGCTTCTCATTGATTCAAAAAAATCACAGGGAAAGGACATCCTGACACAAGGTGATAGAGTAGCCGAAACTACCACTTGTGGACACAGAAGAACATTGTGACAGGTCCGAATTGTACTAGCTTCCATGGTCACTGCCTTTTTGTGATCCTTTGGCAGGTGATAACTTCAGGTGGGATAACGTTTCGTGACCAGCCGTGGCATAGAGAGTGTTTTCTGTGCAGTGGCTGTAGGAAAGAGCTCTGTGAAGAAGAGTTTATGTCCAGAGATGATTATCCATTCTGTTTGGACTGCTACAACCATCTTTACGCTAAAAAGTGTGCAGCCTGCACCAAACCCATTACTGGTGAGTTCTTCAGTTTACTATGGTCCTACGATGGCGTAGATTTGCTATATAGTTAATTTGGGAAACACGAGTAAAAAATGATAATCTTCTGAGATACACACACAGGGGTACCCACACATAAATACAAATATTACACAGACCCCCTCAAGGCAAGTGGAGAGCGTAATTAGGGTTGCCATGTTCTGTAGAGGGGAATTAATACTAAACCTAATGGTAATGACTTAAGTAATCATTCAGGGAAAGAGGAGAACAGGATGAGCTGAGAGGTCAGAGAACCTCATGAGGAGGCCTGCCATTTAATGATTTGAGTGGGAGAAAGGGATACTTATAAATAAAAATCCTGCTTGATTCCAAACAAGGGCAAAGGGCCCTAAAATAGAAAAGGTTTTAATTAAATGCAAATATTGTACAAAAATCTGAAGCTGTAATAATTAGGGTGGCATAGGTCAGGAATTAATTAAACTTCATTTTAAGATGCTTCTAACAAGTGTATCATTCTCATTTCTCTCAATCCACTTGCAATACATTTTAATTATGAATAGATAAAATAAAACAAGACGGCATTCTGTTGAACGAACAAAACACATGTGATGTGATTTGAAAATATCACAAATGGTAAATTGATCCATGTTAAAAAGATTTTCAAGGTAAAATGATGCATTATATTTTCCCCAGAAGTATTTCCAAATTGCTAATCCTATAGTTAAAAAAAAAAATGAAGCTGGCATGACATGAGAATCCCAGCAGCTATTCTTCTAGGTAGAACTGTACTTCTAGTTCCCATTCCTAGGATTCTTAGATCATATTTCATTTCTTTTAGTTTAGTTTATATAACACGGAATTAAAAGATTATTTTATCCTTTTCCTCCTCCTCCATCTTCAAATACATCACAAAATAAAAGTTGAATCTTCTTAAATCTTCAAAGAAAGAAAAGAGTTTCACGGCAAACCCAGCTTGGCAGGTTTTCACTGACTTGCAAGGGGAGGGAGAGATTTACCCAAACAGACAAGGTCCCAGTTTTCTGCACAGGGCACCATATTTTTCAGCATCTCACCCCAGTCCAGGGCTACAGCTGGCTGGCAGGTGTGTTTTGTTTGGCCTGCACGTGTTTGGAAACAACTAGCGCAAAACCCATCTCTGCAGCCAAAAGTACATGAAGAACCTGCCGGGGTGAGCAGACCGCCCTCGCGTTCCCCAGCTGGGTCTCTGTCCCAGGCTCAGCAGCTGCCCCAGTGGTCTGTTCCCCACAACTCGTCTCCATCCCTCAGCTCTGTTACCTTCCCAACCCTTGCACTGGATTCCGTTGGCAATCCCAGACTACGGGGCTCCAAAGCTTAGGCTCTTCACCACTCCACTCCCCTGCCTCTACACATCTCACAGCTCCTACAGTCAGGGGAATGAGCCACTGTCGCTACCAGTTTTAGTTAGAAAATGGGACTTCCAGAAATGCATCAGTTCTGGGAGCTCATAAATCTCCTTGGTAAAATCTGCAATTACAGCCCAATGCATGCAGTTGATTTATTCTAGAACACTTTTCTTGAACTAGCCAGAAAAAGAAAGGGGGGCTTCCATGAGGAGATGAGAAAATTAAACAAGTCAAAATGGGTTTAAACACTTCCTGGGTACCCAAATAGCTAATACTGACCTGCAAAGAGCCTATGTGAGCCCTGAACTTGAGGAGTTTCAATTCTCATCCATCACAGATTCATGTAGCTAAGTGACTTTTTTCTGTTGGGTTGTTTCTTGTTAATCACTGAGCCCAGGTCTTTCAGGTTGAGAGAGAAAAAACACATTGTCCTGCAGGTAATATAAGGATGATCAAGAACCACAGATTTGACTCAAAAGTAATCCAAATACAGGATTATGTATTTAACTTAGAATAATCAGTTTTTTGATAATTATCATAATCTTATTTTGGCTCTGATGAGAGACACTTGAGACTAAAATGCCTGCAGAAACTTCCAACGCGCTTCACTATTTTTTTATCTGATATATGTTTTTTATCTGAATATATATATATATGCTTTGCAGTAGTGTTTCTTTAAAATTGAACTCTTTGAATTAATGTACCACAGGGAATTCTTATGCTGCCATATATTTATCTTCTGAAAGTTGCACACTCATGCAAACAATGTGTCAATCTAAGAAACTATGTTAGGGTGTTTTCAAAATACTTTTTTATATTAACTAAATCTATCTATGAGTCTCAGGTGTGATTTTTTTAAATCCCATCAGAATAAATTTTATTCATTTGAACAAACTCAAGGTAGAACTATACTTTTTTTCTCCTCTAAGATAGGATTAACCTTTCAAATTTTCTGGGATAGATGAAGAAGCTTGATGTAGGGACGCGCTCTGGACTAGCGAGTAAAAGACCTTGGCCTTGGCTCTGCCCCTGAGGACTGTGGGACCATGGGTAAAGAACTCACCACCACGGAGGTCCTCATTGGCCTTGCTTGCAAATGAGGAGTTGAATAGGATCACATCTTTGCTTTCTGCCATTTCTGTTTATTTTGAGTAAAAGGAGTTTCAAATGTTATTTCTTCTGAAAGGAATGCTAATGTTCCTGGTTATGGTCTTTACAAAAGATAAATTCAGACTGAATTTGGGGAAGTTAAGAGCACAGGTTCTGAAGCCAGATGGCCTAGGATTGAATCCCAGATGTGTCACATACCAGCTGGCTGATTTGGGCAAGTGGTTGAACCTCTCTGTTCATCCATTTTGTCTGCAAAGCAGAGTTGATGGTAAAGTGAGAGCTATGTGAAGTAGTACATGTGAAGGGCTTAGAATAGTGACTGACTCATTTTCAAGGGCTCAACAAACGCTAGCTCTCATTCTACTGAATTTTCAGTAATAAATGAAGTCAAATAAAACAGGTGCCAGAGACCAGTTTCCTGGGGGACTTTATTAATACAAATGACCCTCTAACCTGAGGGAGTAAATGTATTCAAATTTGAAATAATTTATAAACATCTCACATGTTGAGTCCGCCTTTCTTAAATTCCTACTACCAGATGCTTCTATTTCTTTTTCTTTGTAAAATTCTGGAAGAATTATTTTTATATTTACCACTTGTACAGGCTTACTAATAAAATCAAGAAAAGCTCATGAGCATCAAAATGCAAGATGTGTAATAATTAGTTTTATGAACAGAGATGATTCATGCATATATAGCATATGATTCTTGCAGTCAGCTTATTACTGTTTTGAATAACATTCAGGGAATTAATTGGTTCATTACTGATTTACTCTTATTAGCAAGTAATGATGATAGCATAATTAATCAAAGAAGGTAAAGAATTTGATGTGCATTTATTTATAATCTAGTGAATTTCATGTAAAGACATCAAATAACATTTCTAGTATGGACATAAAAGTTCAGTATCATATTTAAGGAGAGTTTATCTGAAGTAGAATGCTTATTCACCTTTTTTTCTTCCCCAAATGGAATATTTGGAAATTATATGTGAATCAACACATGACTATGTTAGCCACACTCTGTGAGTAATGAGCAAATCATGGGAAGTTTGTATCACTATGATCACTTGGAAAAAAACTTGGCAAATAAACACCCAAAGCATCCCAAACACTTCCCAACCGCTATACCTTTTCTCCCTTTCAACTCCTCAAAATCAATTCCTTAAACTGTAGTCTGGATCCATATTAGGGATATAGAAAGAGATTCTCACTGAAGACTCAAATTCTATTACCTTTCTTAGAAACATTATGACTCACGTGAAGCCCAGGTGGAGGTGGTGGGGGCTGACAAGGCACTTCTTAGAGCCTAATTACTGGATAGGATGGCCTTAGTGGCCAGAGTGATCAGACTCACAGATCTTTGTTGCAAGCCTGGGCTAAAGTTGTCTCTGAGCAAGGTAATCAGGTCGTCATGTTAGGCTAGCTACACGATGGTCAGGATGAAATCTTCTATTGGGGGCTTTTGGAGATTGTGTCCCAAACCACAGTTATCACCATGGAACTTATCTCTTAAGTAAAACTAAACATAGAAAAAGAGGAAAGAGAACTCAAAGTCATTAAAACATCAGACACGAGGCTAGGAGGTATACATTTATTTTACTGTACCTTAATTTTGCTTCTAAGAAAGCAAAAGAAGAAAAGAGGGTCATGTAGAGAGAAAGAACATATTCATACCTAGATATCTCTGACTTTGAAATCTATCTCCCCTTCCCACAGCATTTTACTGTACTTCCTTATCTTTCTTAGGCGATCTTTCTCTGTTTCCAAAAATACCCGTTTTGTATATTCAGATTCTACCTACTTTTGGAGATTATGAAAAAGGTTGACTGGGAATCAGGCTGGATCTCATCAGAGGAAATTGCCTCGGGTGACATTTCCAGGTGGACACAGGGGCATGGAAGGCCGCTTTATTTGCCTCTCTGCAGTCTTCTTGGTCATTGCTGTTCTCTGCAGTTCCTAGGAGAGTACCTGATGGAATGCTTAATCTATTCATTCTTTTCCCCCAATTCCTTTCCAGGTCTCAGAGGTGCCAAGTTTATCTGTTTTCAAGACCGCCAGTGGCACAGTGAATGCTTTAACTGTGGGAAGTGCTCGGTCTCCTTGGTGGGGGAAGGCTTCCTGACCCAGAACAAGGAAATCTTCTGCCACAAATGTGGCTCTGGATTGGACACTGACATCTAGACGGCGGCAATCTTTCTTCACCTGAAGTCCACCTTGCTTGTGTTCTCACTAAATCCAGAATGTGCTTGAAGTAGTATTTCTGACTTACATTTTAGCAAATATTAATGTAGAGTTTATAGCAGAAGGAATTTTGCACACATTCTGATTGAACTATATCATAAGAGCTCAGAAAAAGCACAGTGGAACAGGAATGAATATAGCCTCACAAAGGCATCTCTCCTTGCAAAACACTGCACCCTGCTGTTAAAAACAAAGGAAAATATCTCCTTATGGTAATCAAACACATGACCTATACCTAGAAGTCATGGATGTTATTATCGAAGAGTGATGTTTTTCAAAACTGCAGAGTAAAAAAGGAAATTAAGAGATTAAATTAACAGGCACACGTGAAGCTAATGTTTGCATTCCTAGCTAGCTAGTGATATATAATGTGATAGATTGGCTATTCATGGTAGAAGAACAAAACCTATCAGGGAAAACTGATTAGTAATCATCCTATTTGAGAATTCTGTCACTTTATCATTCTTTTATTCACACATACTGACTTTGGAGTTGCAAAACAAAGCTGCAATTTACCCTCATCTACACTGCTTTCACAGCTGGTTGATTCCATGTTTAACAAATGGAAACAAGAATTTGGACACTATGGCTCTCATACTCTGCATGGGTATAAAGGGGTCCTCTCTACCTAGGGATAGTCCCAGGCTAGGTTTCAACACATGTTATATCAAATGCATTTTCAAAGCCCACAGTGATTTTTCTAAATACTTAACAGATTCCATGAAAGAGAAGTCTCTTGCTGCAAATCAGCTAACCAGGGTAATCATTGTCCCCAAAGGCAAACCTTTAAAGTAAATAGATCATTAAGTCATCACTTGTGGAAATGAGTTTTAGGGAAGGGATTGAGTGATGGAACATGACTTTCATCCAGATATCTAAAGGCATAATAGAATGCATAATTAACTCTGAGCTTCATGCATTTTGCCTTCTAAAATTACATAGATGATTAATGGGAAGACATAAAATTGGGCTTTAACGAAATCTAGTAATAATAAGAAGTGAGAAAGAATAATTCACTGCTGATAATTCAGGGCCTGCAAAGCAGTACAATACAGCAATGTGGGCTGTGGATGAGCCACCACCCCCCACTGTTGCTCCATACCTGTGCCACCCACCTCACCCCATGCCAACCATGTCCCAAGAATTCCAATCTCCTGCATGGCCCAGAGGTGCACTCCCAACCCCGAGCAGCCATTTTACAAATAAGTCAGTGTTTATTGGTCACCAGAGAAGTAACAGCCTTTAGTGAAAAGTCTGTTACCATATGCGTATCTTTCTATCAGACATCAACTGACGATGGCTCTACCTAGCTGCTCCTGGGCAATATTTTCCATATTATGAGGGACAAATGAAAGGCAACCTCTTTTCTCCATGGTTAATTATTGTCCTTGTTATAGTGTCACTTAGCTGGAGTAGAGGGAGGTCAGGAGAAGAAACACATGCAGACATAACATTTTTAAAGTGCCTACTCTCAGATTACTGCATACCAGTAAAGGTTCTGATTGAAATCTAATTATATGATGTAGCTGATTATAATAATTAAAATAGTATCACAGGAGATGCAATGTAAATTGTTATGGAAACACAATTTTTGAGATAGTTCAAAATGCAAGGACGTTTGGAGATGCTAACAATTTAGAACTGCTAATAAAAGGTCAGGCTACAAAGGCTATTTGAAAGATATAACTATCTTTTTTTTTTTTTTGGTACTAACAACACCAAGATAATTTTTCACATTCACAGTATAAAATGTAGGTAAAACTATCAATATTTTTCCTGCATTGTTTGAAATTGCATGTATAGAACTAAATATGCCAATTGTTCTATGATCCAGAACATAATAGTGCATTATATATTTAGAAAACCAAGCCCTTCTAGGTCTGGATAAATATACAATATGTAATATTGTCACAGTTAACCAATTATAGAAAAACAGGCAAAATGTAATGTTTTCTGAGTTAAACAATTAGTAATGTTTAAGCATTTTTCCTTGTGTATGGGGTGAGTGTGCACATGATCAGGCTTGCATTCTATCTGTACAATTAAAATTCACAATAATTTCTGAAATAGAGATTCTTTTATCCTTTGATACATATGCTTAAGTATATATATTTTCACATATAAATAATTCCATATTTAGAATATAGCTTCATTATCAGATATGTATGTACCGTGCACAGAGTTAGAGTTCAAACTGTTGTGGTTCTGGGGTGGTGGGAGATCAGGGTACAGAAATGCGAGATTGCCACGTACAGAGATCTTCCCAGTAGCTGATAAACAGTGCCACTGTGGACGTAATACACATATGCAAAACAATGAAGAAAGAAGACCTCATTAGACTGCCATACACACAAAGATACAAGTAAAAAATCCTATACTGTATCCTATAATTGACTTTGGGTCAGTAAAGAGAAAAGCTCTCAAACTGACCTATCCAAAGATGAAAGATGGAATAGACTGTCTCAGGAAGCAGTGGCACCCGGTGATTCAAGGAGTGACATCTGCACAAGCAGGAAAGCAGTTAGAAGCCGATCCTTTGTGCTAATAACAACCAGATGGTTTGGAAGTAGCCAAGAGACTGTGCCAAAGAGCAAAAAGAAATGACATAGCTAAAAGAGAAAAGGTCAGATGAAGACAGAATATTAACTCAGGATAAAAGCTTTATATTTGATATAACAGGCATTAGAAAATTACTAACTGCTCTTAAACAGAGGAGAAAAGCATTACGCCTGTGTTTGAGGAGCATTATGCTAATGAGTCTGTATGGCCTAGAACTGAAGAGGGCAGGATTTCAAAGGCTAAGTCTCTTAATGCAGTATCACGTTTGGTGAGTGGCTACAGAAAAGAAAGAAGGAGCAATGGGTAATGCAGGCCAAGAGCTATCGATGAGAATACAAGTCAACAAATCAAAATATTTTATGTTATCATGTTAGGATCAAATACGACAAAGAAAAATGCAGAAAAGAATTCCTATTTCCATAATAATAGGTAGGGTACGCAAGGTTTCAATTTTCACTTAACAAGATCAAAACATGTTATACTGGAACAATCTAGGTTCATGGGTTAAGTGAAGTACGATAGGGTACCATCATGGATTCAAAACTTACACAGTCACTATAACTTAAAAAAAGAAACATTAAGTTATACATCAGAATGAAAGGTTGGCCAACCATTTTGAAAATGCGTAACGTTGTCACAAATGGTGTTGGTTAAAAATTGTTGTGAAATATAGAGCCACAAATAAAAATTCAACCTAAAAACATATATCTGATGTTACTAACAACATTTTTTAATTTAAGAAAAAAGGTATTTTTTAATCTACTTGGCATATTGATAGTAATTCATATTTTAAATAAAATGATTGTGACGGTATGTTTTAGATATATTTAAGTGAGCACATAAATTATTCTCAAACACACTTAGATAGATATTTACTATTGTAATAACATAGTTTTTACTTGTTTTACAAATTGTTATTTTCAGAAGTTTCTTATGCCGAATAAATTTGCATAGTACAAATTCCTCAAATTGTTTTTGGAGATTTATTTTTTACATTAACTGTGCCAGTATGGAATAGCTTTGTGGTGTTTCTACTTCTATTACATAAGGCAGCATGATGACTTTTTCCTTCTTGTCCCATCCATTTTTACAGTAATTAACTGTATGTTCAGATGCCATTTCAGAGTATTAATATAAAAAACAGCATAACTGAATCCTGTCTGACCCCAATAGTAATGGCTCTCTGGTTAAACTAAGAGAAACACATCTGCGATCTTTCTTACAGTGATCAAATTTTTAAATATTCTAAACTAGGAGTTATTTTATTTCTGTCATTTCTGTGATTCTAAAACTATCCTATCAGAAAAGGCCCATTTTAATTTGATTATCCTATTTTGACTGAGATAGTCTTTAGCTAATTTCTTACTATTTCTGTATTGGAGGAATTGCTGGAATTCTTAGTGATTTTAAAGCTTGTGGGTACACAAAGGATACAAAAATACTGATTCGAAGGGATATAAACACAGGCACCTGATGTTTATAGCAGCATTATCTACAGTAGCCAAATTATGGAAAGAGCCCAAATGTCCGTGAACTGATGAATGCATAAAGAGGTGTGGTATGTGTGTGTATATATATAATGGAATATTACTTGACTATAAAAAAGAATGTACTCTTACCATTTGCAAAGACATGGATGGAGTTAGAGAGTATTATGCTAAGTGTAATAAGTCAGATAAAGACAAATACCATATGATTTCACTCATACATATGGAATTTAAGAAACAAAACAAATGAACATGGCGGGAAAAAGAGAGGCAAGCCAAGAAACAGACTCTTAACTATAAAGAACAAACTAAGGGTTACTGGACGGGGGCTGGGCAGGCGGATGGGTTAAATCAGTGATGGGGATTAGGGAGGGCATTTGTGATGAGCACTGGGTGTTGTATGTAAGTGATGAATCACTAAATCCTACACGTGAAACAAATATTACACTGTATGTTAACTAACTGGAATTTAAATAAAAATTTTGAAAAGAAAAAAATAAAGCTCTTGAGTACAAAAAACAGATTGGTGGTTGCCAAAAACAGGGAGTAGGGGAGGGTAAAATTGGTGAATGGAGTCCAAAGGTACAAACTTCCAGTTATAAAAGAAGTCATGGCATGTAGAGCGTGGTGACTATAGTAAATAATACTGTATTGCATATTTGAACGTTGCTAAGAGTAGATCTTAAAAGTCTCATCACAAGAAGAAAAATTGTAACTCGTATGGTGACTTGTGGGTGATCATTTTGCAATATATACAAATACTGAATCATTAGGTTATACACCTGAAGCTAATATAAGGTTATATGTCAATTATACCTCAAAAGAAATCACAGTGATTTTTAACTCTTATTTATTTTATCTAAAGAGAATTTTGTGTCTGCAACACAAGCCTTTAAGAAACTAGCTAACTCACACTATAAGCATTAGTTAGGTTCTCTTCAGAGTAATGTTATAGATTATGAGT